CAAATATGCTAATTAATTAATGCAGACTATATTTTAAGATACGAAATAAGACACAAAAACGTACTTTTTCTAAATAAAAGTGCCTATTTTTCGAAGGATTCGAAATTCTGACCCCCAAAATATCTCGGAAATATGGTCACGGTAGTTTGGTCAAAAGCTCGATTCTTGAACACCTTAATGTTAATTTTATTTTTGCGCATATCTTCATATCTCGAGTATTTTAAAAGCGAATTAAAAAAATGGCTAACACTATTATAAAATTCGTCTTTCCGAAAATAATTGTGAAATATAAATTTTAATAAATATTAATTTTTTATTATTATTTTTCTTAATAATGGCGGAAAAAATTTTGAATTGTAAGGTACACAATTTTTACTTCATTAAAACAATGAAAAAATTTGAGCCCTTACAGTTAAAAAAAATTTTCGACTATTATTAAATAAAATAAAAAATATATAATAACTAATTATTTCAAATTATTTTTTACCTGGATTTATTTTTGGGAAAACTATTTCGTTGATTTTGGGCAAAAATTTTTTTAATTCGCTTAAAAAGCTCTCGAAATACGCAAAAACTAAGATGAATATTAAGGGGTCCAAATTTCGAACAGCTCTCCAGACTATTCGAATCATGTTTCCCAGATTGCAACTACCCCTCTATTTTAGGGGTCAGAAATACGAATCCGTCGAAAAAAGGTTTGTTTGTTCAGAGAAAGTCCGTTTCTGTGTCTGCTTTTGCAACTTAAAATGTCATCTGCACTAATTAATTAGTATATTTGAGGTTCCCCCCCCCCTCGAGCTATTAAGATTGAGTCCTAGAACGCGAAGATTTGATTAGATCGAAAGTTATTTACTGTAGCTAGTTTTTTTCTTTTTTCTTGCACACCATACTATTGCTTTTACCATGCAGCATATATCTCAAAACGATATCAATATGAAAATGTACATCACTTCTTATATTGTTCGATATCCAAAAAAGTATTGTGCCATATTATAAAAAAATGCTGTGGAATATTGATCGATATCTCTTATCACCTACAAAAGCTGTAGAATGTCGATCGACATCGTTAACACAATATTCACAAAACGAATGCTGCGGAATTCTGGTCATCATCACCATTACGTTATTTGTAAAAATAAATAAAAAATGGTGTTTGAAAAATTTTCATGACCGTCTATACTTAGGAAAGGAGAAAAAACTGTATATAAAAATATTTCTAGCTGGTTTTTTCAAAAAAAAATATATATATCCTTCATTTAAAACATTTTAACAGTTATTACATATATTTACATATGGAATCGAATCGCTTACAGTCCTAATTTTTTAAAAAGGATTGATAAAGCTTTTCTTATTATAAACTATCGACCATCTACCATTACTTTCTTCTGGATCAGAAACAGTGCTGAATATATGTTATAACTTTTAATGAATTTTGACAGTCAGGGATATTTTTTTCTCATTCCCGAAAATAAGGCAGCAATAAAGTGGATTTGCCTATAGATTTTTTCCCCTCTATTTCAAGATACAAACAGCCCTGTTATAATTTTAATTTGCAATTTATTTTAATAATTATTGTAATAATAAAAAAATTAACTAAACTAAAACTAATATACTACGATAAATTTTGTTTCCCCTTATCTATTTTTTTCCACGAAAATTAAATCTTTGCGTAAGTTTATTTTTACAATATCTAAAATTTATCTTTTCTATTTTTAAGGAAAAGGAAAAAGAGTTTGCAACTAAACCTTGAGAGAAACGTACTGTGAGGGCACATATACTGAGTGGGAAGAAAGACCCAAAAAATATTTTATTAATGCTTTAATGTTCCTACAAAACATAGGAAATAATTTAGTACGTAAAAGATTCCCTTATAAAAAATAGTAATAGAAAATCCCTTTAAATTATGACTACAATTCTCAATTAAAACGTATTTTTTTCTTTTTCAATCAAATAGTTTTCTATAAGTCTAGTTGCAAACTTTTACACAAATCGGCAAATGCTCACAAATGCAATGCGAATGCACATGCTTACGAATGTAATGCGAATGCACATGCTTACGAATGTAATGCGAATGCACATGCTTTTCATAAGGGCTTTAAAAGGATGTAGAAAATCCATTTGGCAATAGTTAATGAAAAAAATATTACCGGTGTCAGTTATTTGTGAGTGAGTACGGGTATCTGGCATAATTTAATTTTGTTTAAAAAAATATTTTTCTCTAATTTTATTGAACATATTTTGATGATAAGAGATAAGGCATGAATATATATATGATAAGTTTAATTTTGCTCGTACATGCTCATGATAAAAATAGCGAAAAAGAATTCTCAAGTTTTAAAAAAATAATTCTAACAAAATAATTCTAACTATTATATACTGCCATTATTACCTATCAAAAACATTAATTATTGTTTCACCTCAGTCCTAAACATGGTGCTTTTTTTGTTTTGTTTTTTTTGTACTCATTTTTAAATGTCCTGTTATGCTAAATACAAGGCCAGATTACATTATTGGATATTAAATAAACTCAAACTAATAATTAAATATTTTCTCAATGATCTCATAAATTTTGCATTAGATTTCAAATAAATGTATATGTTTAATCAGGGATACGCTTAATTCGAAACTAAATATTTTTAAAGTATGAAAGCAATTCTATATTTACTTTCTCTAACGCATTGGTGGCTTCCCAAATGAACGAATTTCAATTGATAACTTGTTATACATCCATATTTTATTAATAAATTATTTATTTAGGAAATTTGAAAGGAAAGAAACATGCATAGAATATCCATTCAGTTTTTAGCACCATTGTATAAAAAAATATTGAAAAACTTGGTGATAGATTTAAATATATAACAGTTGAATTCATTTTTCAATACAAGATTGATTAAAATTCAAATTATTTATTTAAATCACAAATTTATTGTAAAGGAAGCTAGAAGTAAAATTTTTGCTGTTTGTTTTTCTTACAAATTTACCAATTCAGCAATTGTTTTCACGATAGATTTAATACCTCAACATATCACAGTTACATTTTGAAAATCTTTGTGTTTGAACAAACATGATCTCTAATGTACACTTATTTGAAAACATGCACAAGGGATTTTAGAAATTTTTGCTTCCAACCACACACAGCTTCAAGTTTTTTAAATTATGGCTACTTTAAACAAAAGTGCACGTTTAAGCACTGAGTTAAATTATAATGTTTCCAAATTTTTATCTTCATATTAATATGCAGTGAGAAATAAATGTTTTGTTAAGTTACAAATTCTTTTTTTTTTTTCGTGTAGGTCAACTGTATCCAATTTCTTTCAACTATTGAAAACCTAAAGAATTCACTGTCTTTCAGCAAAACTCCGATTTTGTAAACAAAAAATAAAAATAAGAAAATTTTGATAGTATTAACCAATAAAAGACTATTATATTTTGAAAATATTTGATAAGATTATCAATCAATAAATTATTAATGATAAATTATTAATGATAAATTATTAATAATAAATTATTAATGATGAAAGGTTATTGCTGATAAATATTTTTTTATCGTTTTATCATTAATATTCCTTAATTTGGTTTTAAGTTCGACTCTTGAATTCACAATCTTGGAACTGAATAGAGTCCAATTATGAATTTATTTCTATATATTATAACAAAGACATTTATCCACACATTGGACATTGAATAATCTAGGTCGTTAATCTTAAATTATCCAATGTGCAAAAATTTGGTCTTAAATAAAGGTGAAACATTTATAAGGCTTAAGCTAAATGAGTATAAAGCAAATATTTTTTTTACTTCCATCCAGTTTTATATATTTGTATAATAACTTATCCTTTCCCCCCCTCCTTTCTTTTCCTCAAATTTAGGTCACTATTCAATTTTACAATTTTTATTATTTTCGGTTTTTTAAAACAGAATTATTGACGGTTGCTTTCCAAAATATTCGGTATTTTTGGAGAAATTGAAAGTAAGAAACATCTACAGCCTTCTTGACTAATTATTTTGTACTTTCAGAATTTATTTTTAACTTAGTACATTCTATTCTGCATTCTCCTATGGATGGTGTTTTCTACACTAGATAACTCTGAAAGCTCGGTACCGCCTAAATTTCCGGGTTACTGTTTCCGTTGTATTTTAAAGCCATTTGGCATCATTTTATTTTGAGATTCTTGCAAACAATGTATTTTATTACTTATTACTTGTGTTTACAATGCTAACAAGACTGGTGTTTAAATTGCTAAAAGTGTTAACACTAACGTAAGATGGTGCACAGCTTGCAACAAGAACAAACAGTAATAAACTTATGGAAAGACGCCATATCAAGACTGCCAAAAAAGCGAGTTATTCAAAATCTAGCAACCATGTCACCTTTTTTAACAATATATCTCTAAAAACTAAAACAAATTTTCACTTCAAACTCACCAGAATTACATATTAACATTAATATCTTATGAAATATGGCAGATTTGAGCCCAGAAATTATCTAATTTATTTCTTTTATTGAAAACAAAATTATCCATTTGAAAACATCGCCTATCAGAATAACATGTAGTAAGCAGCTGCAAACTTTTTAACCGGGACTAGAGTAGGTGCCGAGCTCGAGATTGTTATTGTTTACACTTCTATTGAAAACACCATCCATTCTTGGAAATTAGGATCCTAATTATAATTATATCTTTCTGAATAAAAGAAATAATACTGAAATTTTAAAAAAAATTGAGTTCTATGCATTATTAAAACTATTTAATTTTTATAGAACATCTTTTCTAGTGTACTACTGTTTCTGAAGTAATTTTAATTTTTTTTTTTTTTTTTTCCTCTGCCTCAGAACACAGTCTCCTTGCAACAGTATGGTTGTTGGAAAGCGCCACCTATAACTTATTTTTATTCGAGGGTTTTTAAATCTCTATGAACATGAGGTTCTATTTCGTAACAAAAGTGAGCAGCCGGATGCACACCAGTCAAAACAAATATAAACTTTGATCGCCTTAGAATAATTTTACTTTGCGATTCATCTGATTTAATAAAATAAAATGATTCTACAAAGATTTTTTTAACTGCGTCTTTTACTTGAAATTTTTCTTAGTATTATATCTATATATGTATCAGCTTAGTGGTTCCACGAAATTGTAATTTGAAAGATAGAGTTTGAATTATAGGCTTTCAGATGTCTCTATTTACAAAAAAAATTAATTTTCTCTGTTCTCGTCAATATCTTATACACCGCATGGGTTCCAGTTGGATTAAAACTAGTTTTTATAGACTTCTTTCAAATGAAATCTTTAAGTCGCATAATTTTGTGAGTAGTTGTTCAAGAGGGAAAAAATAATATATATTTTTTAGATGATCTTATTAGCTGACCATAAGTCAAAATATTTTCTATAATATTTGTTCCTTATATTCTATCATGCATGCTTTGTTATATTAAATAATTTTGTGTAACAAATCATTTTTTTCAATACTTTCGGCTGATAATTACTTTTAATTACTTAATATTATCTAGTTATTGCGTATAAAATAATGGTAAAAGCCAACATCAAATTTCACAATTTAGAATATTTCTTTGGGTAAAATTGCATGCAGTTTTCGATATTATATAAAAAGCATTATATTCAGAGCAAATGCTCTGATACCAAGTTAAATAGCTATTAATTTTTTTTTTCTCTTTACTTTGCACTAAAGACATAACAGGGAAGCTTGTTTACAGTTTTAGTTACTATATATTCAATTGGGGATTTTAATATTGCCTGTATCATTATTATTATCTTCACTAAGTTATTTTTATACCACTAAACCCTATAATCAATTCAATTCTTAAAAAAATGTCCACCTTCTTAATATTACAGGCATGTTTTCTATTATAAATTATTAGTACAAATCTTATTGATATCAATTTTTAAAACCTCCTTTGATGACTTTTATAGATGTGATTAATTTTTATGATGATAGATTGTCAACACTTTTATATTCATACTTTATTATCTTTAATAAGTTGATTTTAGTTTAAGTTAATTGAAGTTTGCATCATTAACTATAAAAGCAAAATGAATTGTTCTTCTTTTAATATTATTANCATGTCAAAAACCTGCCAACCCTGATCATTAACTATAAAAGCAAAATGAATTGCTCTTCTTTTAATATTATTATTTTGTTGAACATCGCTAAATAAAATATACTAATGATCTGACATTTAACTACAAAATAGAATAAGTTATCCATTAGTTGATAGCTACTTATGAGGTCACATTAGCCAAAAACTGACTAAAGTATTCTTTTCTGTATAACAAAACTAGCTTTTTCTCTATCATTCATTGAAAAATATTGCTTATTTGAAAATCACTATGCAAACTTTGAAAGAGGCTTGATAATTGAAGGGCTTAAATATTTGATATGTACAAAAAATACGTATATTTTTGTGGTGATAATTTTTTATATGTTTCTCTTAAAATATTTGCCTTATTTATTCAAATAATTTATAATGTTTTTTTTTCTTCCTATTTTTGTTAACTATATTATTATTTAAGTTCTCTGTGATTAATATTTTATAGCACATGCAAAACAAGATCAGTATTCCAGTTATAGCCAATTTCTGTTATAATATAACTAAAATGAAATCCTTCAGGTAAATTTTTTTTCATAATATGCATAATTTTATTTTATTAATTTTTAAAATTTTATAAAGTTTATAATTTTAATATGTAAGAATTTTTTCTTAATTTGCCTGAAATTTTATAAATTCATGTTATAAACCAAAGCATTATCATTTAAAGCAAAGCTGATAAAATATTCCTTCAAGCAAAACCATGAGTGTTATCTACTCCACATATGAAATAATTTATTTAAAAAATTTATATTTAAAACTCTTTAAAAATTACATTTAATAGTTATATTTCCTTAAAAGTATATGTATTTTCAAATTAATGTTAGGGAATATTTTATAATTATTAAACTGAGTAAAAGAATAAGCATTATAATTTGAATAAATACTTACATTTAAATATATTTTTTTAAAGTCTATATTTAAAATACCTGTTCTTTGTGAATTAGTTGCAAACAGTGATAATGCCCTCAACTTTTAATGGGTGCTCATAAAATATACTTTAAGTGAAATCCACACTGGTGGACCTTCAACTTAAAATTACACTTTAAATTTTATTTATTAAAAAGTAATAATCAATACAAAAACTTACTCGGTGGAAGCAAATCATATATTTTTTTTAAAAAAATTTTCCCAAGCTTTGAAAGTTATAAAGTTTTCAACACATTGTGGTGGACAACATAATTATTCATAAAACTTTTATCAAGTATATTGGGCAAATTTTTTTTATTTTCATGTTCCTGTAGTTAGTAGATATGCAGGGTTTGTATGTACCTGAAATATTGGGAACAGTCGGGGAAAATGAGATTTGAGAAAAACGTCAGGGAAAAAAGTAATTATATCTCAATTGTCAGGGAATTTTTCACCTTATCTAATCTAGCTAAAACTCAATATTACAAGCTTAACTAATGATTACTAGTTGCATCTCTCGAACTAAGCTGAAAATCTCGGCAATTGGAAAATCAGACATGGAGTTTAAAAACAATTTCCTCAAAAGAAAATTTTATATTAGTTTACCACTATTTTCTGTGCTTACGACACAAACCCATTAAAATTGCATTGATGAAAAATCTATAGTGATGGTGCAGTTTTATTAGTAGATCAGTACTGCAATGAGGATTGTTCACTGATCAAGATTTTAATCTGGGTTTAAGACAGTCAGCAGCAGAGTCTCGCCACTTCATAATTTTCATCTCTCTTTTTGATTGAATAAAGATAAAATTTATTTAAAATTGTAAATTAATGAACTTTAATCTGAGGGACTTTCACTTTCCACTAATTAAACAAAGTATTTAAGACTTCTCTAACTTAAATTTCAGCCCTCCTTGAGTATAACAAATTAGGTTTAAAAAAATTCAAGAATTCAATTAAAATTTTAATAAAATATTGAGTTTAGGGAACTTCTTTTTTCTAATGTTTTAAGCGTATGCTGTAACAAAAATTATTCAAATTTGTCATTTAAAAATATTGAATTAATTTCTTTATTATTTTGTGCAAAAACAAGTGATATTAAGAATTTGATGATTGCAGAATTATAAAAATGGGAACACTGTTATGTAATTTACTTTTGTCAAAGATTTTTAATTACTGGCTTATTGTTTTTTGTCCCCAACAAAATTACTAAAATTCTTTTTTTAATTATTTTATTAAAGAAATATTGAACCAAATTACTAATTTTAATAAAATATATTGAATTTTTAAATTGGAGGGACCTTTTTTAATCTAAGTTTTATATATATATAGTTTTTTTATATATAATAAATTTTTCTAGTTTTGTAATTTTTACATATTTGTATTGAGTTAACGATTCAATAATTAATAAGCATTTAACAGAAGGCTATTCTCAAATTTACATATGTAATGTAATTTTTATGTTTATGTTCCTTTTCTACTTCATCCACAACACATCTTTATGAGTAAGTGCAAGGTAATATTGTAAACCAAGATTAATTTTCTTAAAAAAGAGTTAGCAATTTTTAAAAAAGAAAAAAAAAATTTTCCAATTATTCCCCTGCCTTTTTATCTCACTGCAATTTCAATTTTTTTATTCTTATTATTTATCTTTAAAAAATTTAAGTTTAAACTATTGTAAATGTTTTCTTCTCCTTTATTGTTATAATTATTTTAAATGTGCAGCATTTTAACTTAACTCATTAAGATTGTGGCACATATTGAATTTACTCTTCATTTTAGTTCTTAAATAAATTGCCTATAATCTTAAAAATTAATCCAATTTACACACAAAATATGAGGAGAAAGTTTTTTTTTTCATATTAAATATATTATGCGTTTAATTTTTATTATCCCGGAATTTTATGCAAAATGGCCTAGAGAAGATAGAGAAAATTTTCTTCTTTTTGATTATAAACCCTTGATGTGTGATATTTTGTCATTATTTATTTATTTATCCATTGCAGCATAAATTCATCTGTTAAATTTGAACAAATAGCAGAGGAAACATTGCAAAACTTATGTGAGTCTTTTGAAAATGTTTTGGAAAAATCTAATCTTGTAGAATGGGATGTGAATTATAGTGTGAGTATATTGAAACTTGCTATATTATGTAATGTTTTATTTATGGTTTGTTTTATTTGTGTTGTGTTTTATCGATGTTATGTTTTATGTTTTGCCAGGTCTATATCTTTGGTTTCAAATTATTGAAGGCAATTATGTAATTATGAAAGATAATTGTAAAACATTTAATTTTTTTGGACTTTTATAATAATTTTTAATGTGACATCTGTAAAAAGTTTATCTCTATATTAGAGGATATTAAAAAATAATATTCAACCTGAAAATAATACTTTCAAAATTCTATCAAGAATTAAGAAAAAAATTATCTAGTAATTTAAATTTATAGGGTAATTGCATTCCATATAATTTTTTAATTTCTGTTACAAAGAACAGGGTACCTTGTTGGTGGCATTTTTAACATAATATGTAAAAAAAAAATATATGACCTAAATAAAACGAGACAAATTTTCACGGAAAAACAACTAGAGAAAGCTTTACACCTGCAAAAATTCCTGTTACAAAATTTTGCAAATAAAAAATCAACATATCTAAGTTTCTAGAATAATATATGAAATTCTATTTACTTTGCTAAATAAAATTTATTTCTTTTTTCAAAATCTTGTAACACAGCTTAAACCCTGCCACCAAATATAAATAAATAAGTTACAATGAATGAAATAAATCAGAATTAATCTAAATAAATGCATGCTATAATTTTTGTTAAAATGCTAAATATTTAGGATTCTGTGAGTATTCTGTAGGTTATACTTCTTTAACCTTGTTCTTGCATTCTTTTATACATCAACCTTAATTTTTTCTGAAACTGAATCTGATGATTTTCAGTTCATACTACAATAAATAATAAGCCTATTTGTCTGACAGTGCTTTAATTTCTGCTTAAATTGTTTTAGAATCTTTTTCTGTAAATCTATTGGTGTTCAATTTCTATTCTCTTTATTAAAAATAGAAAAAATAGTTCTTTTCATTGTTCATTACGTATTAATAAACATCTAGGTTCTGAACTGAACATGGCATAGTATGATTACTGATAAATAGACACTAACAAGTAGAAAATAAATGTCTTTAAAAATAAAAACATTTAATGTCTACAAAAATTCGAAGAACAGGAAAAATTTTGTAATAAAAATCTTAGAAAATTTTAGGTTTTCTATTTTTAATTTTTTTTTTAAGTAATGGTTAGATTTTTTTTTTAATTTTGAAATTAAGCCCTAATTTTCTACCATACACTTTTCTAAGTATATAAAAACTAATTAAATGGAATTTTAAACCTAATGATTGGTAGAGATTGAAATAAGATGCTGAAACTATAGATTTTTCAAAGCAGCTTTTTCAAAAAATTTGTTCATGTATAGTTATAAAAGCGTGTCAATTTTAACTGATGTTGTAATGTACTTTAGATTCTATTTCTTCTTGATTAACTATTTTTCATAAATAATTATTTTTAAGATTTCTGTCTATATGCATCAATACTAAAAATATGTTCTAGAAGCTGTTTGAAATATTCTTATCTTTCCATTTTAAAGGAAATTTAAATCTGCTAAAGTCTCTCATTTTACTTTCTAGGCATATTTCAGAACTTTTCTTCTTTGAGACAACTTTGCCTCTATTAGTGATTTTGTATTAATGTATATAAAATTTTAGTTCCTCATACTTTTAACTTTATACTAGTACTTTTTGTCCACAAATATTATTTTCATGAATTTTTAACTAACTAAAAAAATCGAGAGTAGAGTGTTTTTAAAATAATTGCTCTTAAAACTTGAAGAATTTTTTTTCCAGAGATCAAGTATGACTTCTGTTTTTGTATTATTTTATTCAGGAAATTATATTTTGCCTATATCTATTTATTATCTATGATATACAAGTATGTATGTATCATCTTTTAATTGACAAATTAACTGTTTAATTTTTATCACAGTTATTATAAATGTACAGTGCACGAAATAAAAAAACGGACTACCCTTAATAACTTTTGATCTAATGATCGGATCTTCGAGTTCTAGAACTTAATCTTAATTACTTAAAGGGGTGACCTAAAATATGCTAATTAATAAGAGCAGGCGATATTTTTAGTTATGAAATTAGATACAAAAGCATACTTTCTCTGAATAAACGTACCCTTTTTTCAACTTATTTGGATTTTTGACCCCCAATATATAAGGTCCCCATAATTGGGTCAAGAGAGCCATTCAAAGTTTGGAACCCTCAATGTTAATTTTACTTTTTGCATATTTCGCCATATCTCAAATCTTTTGAGTGAATTGAAAAACTTTTGCACACAGTTATAAAATCCGTTTATCCAAAGATAATTCCATGTAAAAAATTAATTTTCATAAATATTATTTCATACCTGCCAACTTTTAATCCCTTCCATTCTGATATTTTCCAGTGGTATTAAAATGGAATTAAAATTTAATTTTTAAGCCAGAAAATACTTTGTATTTGAAAAAGCTTAAGCTGACAACCATGATAGCAACACATATCAATATATATGCTTAATTTTTTTAAGTATAGTGGTGATCAAAATCATTTAAAAATTAAGTTTATAAAAGAAGAAAAAGTATATATTTACTACCACTTTAAATATAAAAATAAAATTTTACGCCAAATGCGTAAAAGTTGGCAGGTATGTTATTTTATTAAATAAGCCGACCCGCCCGTGTAGGGGTTAGGGAACTGCCCTTGCATCAGAAAGGTTCTGGGTTCGAATCCCGGGCAAGGCATGGATGTTCTTTCCTTCTCTGTACTATCTGTCCTTACTGTGGGAGCAACGTTGGCCCACCAAATATGGTGCCCCTAAAAGAGTGGCCAACAAATCTGCCCTTCAGATACCTGTATGACCTAGGTCATTCTCCAGGTGTGCATTGGGAACAAAAAAAATATTTATTAAATAAGAGTCAAAACAATTTTGAATTTCAAAGCATACAATTTTTTACATGATTTTAAAGTTTGTAATTTTACATAACAGAATACAAAATTTGCATGAAATCGACTGACTAGTGCCTAAGAAATCGAATTTTAAATATCTGACTTTTTGAAATTCATTTAGTTTAGCATCAATAATAGTTTGACAGTTTTGTAGACCTTTAAAAAAAGTACCAATATTAGTTTGCCAAAAATGATAATGAAAGTATTAGCCTCAGTCATTACTAGTTATTTTAATATTATTATGCATATAAATTTGATCATAGGTACAAATTGAAATTTAAAAAAATGTGTTAAAATGCTAAATTGATGGAGAAAATGTACTATTTATACACGAGAACCTTAAAAAAAATTGGCCTTCTGTAATAGGTATTACTTTTATTATGTTAATTGGAGTTGTCATTTTTTTTAACTACCAATTCAATATACCAATATTGGTACTAAAATACCTACTACAGATACTATAGAAACAGAACAAAATAAGAAAAAAAATAGACTAATAAAAAAAATTTAAATTATCTATTCTTTCATAAAAAATTTTGTATTTTTTATAAAAAGAAAAATTTAATTAAAAAATTATTTGTCTTTCTTTTGTAGAATGGTGTTTTAACTGTTACACTTAATCATCATGGCTCATACGTTTTGAATAAACAATCACCTAATAAACAGATTTGGTTATCCTCTCCTATTAGGTAAATATAAGTTTACAGTGTGTATCTTAAAATTACTATTTATAACTATTGATATCTGTATGTATTGTTAAATTTTAACTTAATGTCAGGAAATTACACCTTTAGAAAGTATTCTTAATTAGTGGGCTGCACCCACTGCTCGCCAACCCCCGAAAATTGCTACGCAATCTTATGTGGTTTGCTTAGCAAACCAAGCTCGCTTCGGTCGCTACTAACTTAGGTACATTGCAAATGCACAAAATTCTAAGAATTCAAAACAATC